AGTTGACATAACATCACATTCCTCGTGTTATACTTTATAGTTGACATAACACCACGTTACTCGTGTTATACTTTAAAATTGACATAACATCACGTTCCTTGTGTTATACTTTATAGTTGACATAAAATCACCTTCCTCGTGTTATACTTTATAGTTGAAATAACATCACGTTCCTCGTGTTATACTTTATAGTTGACATAACATTACCCTCCTCCTGTTATACTTTATAGTTGACATAAAATCTCCTTCCTCGTGTTATACTTTATAGTTGAAATAACATCACGTTCCTCGTGTTATACTTTATAGCTGACATAAAATATCACGTTCCTCGTGTTATACTTTATAGCTGACATAACATCCTCCTCCTCGTGTTATACCTCGTGTTATACTTTATAGTTGACATAACATCACCCTCCTCCTGTTATACTTTATAGTTGACATAACATCCTCCTCCTCGTGTTATACTTTATAGATGACATAACATCACGTTCCTCGTGTTATACTTTATAGTTGACATAACATCACCTTCCTCGTGTTATACTTTATAGCTGACATAAAATATCACGTTCCTCGTGTTATACTTTATAGTTGACATAACATCACCTTCCTCGTGTTATACTATATAGTTGACATAACATCACGTTCCTCGTGTAATTCTTTATAGTTGACATAACATCACGTTCCTCGTGTAATTCTTTATAGTTGACATAACATCACGTTCCTCGTGTTATACTTTATGGTTACAGTCCACCAATTTTTAATGCCTATAGATTATGCTACATTTATATTCTTTGTATGGTTAAAATAATTTTTAAATATGAAACCGGTACAATTTTCATTTCCATAACTTTTAAATTTGGCGACCCATATTTTCTACCTTTCTGCTAAAAGATTAAAATAGCATCTGGAGATATAATCATAGTCTGTGCATAAAAATAACCAATTTAAAGTGAAATTATCCACTTTTAAGCTCACCTGGTACGTAGGTCATGTCACGGCGTCCGTCGTCCGTCCGTCAACCTTTCCTTTAAAACGCTATTTGTCCTGAACAGGCCAGAAGTTTTTGACTCAATTTGGTCTGGAGCATCCTTAGGCCAAGGGCACTCAATTTTGTAGGTCCCATCAGGGTAAATTCAGTTTAATTTATAAAATCCTTCTCCTTCAATTTATTTGGAATTATTTTAACCAATTTTTGTGTAGAGTATCCTTGAGCAAAGTGGACTCAATTTTGTATAAATTGATGGTAGCTTTTTAGGGGCAGAGGGATGGGGCCCAAAGGGGGACATTGAGATCAATGTTAAACATTCACCCCAAATTTACAGTGGGGAAGAGATAAGTTCACTTTTTTAGGTATAGACTTTTCTGTAGATTTAAGCCTAATTCCTAAAATGAATTTTGATAAAAAAATGTAAAACTTAAAGCAATGATTGATACATGGAAGAGAAGAAACTTAACTCCAATAGGAAAGATTAAATATTATTAAGTCATTGTTGATTTCACAACTGAACTATTTGCTTATTACTTTGCCAAATCCACCAGAAAAATGTATCACTCTTTTAAACTTATTATGTTTTTTTTTTTTGTGGAATGGTAAATGTCATAAGATTAAAAAAGATGTTGTTATTTAAAACTATATGGAAGGGGGGTGGGGGTGGGGGGTAAAGATGGTTGATGTATATGCTTTCATTAAATCTCTAAAGCTAGGATGGGTAAGAAGATTTTTTTAGTCATCAGGCAAATGGAAGTTAATGTTGAACACAATTATTGATATAAAAAGTTGCTCAATTGTGGAAAAGAATATATTCATTTAAGTGGTTCTAGTTGCAACAATTTATTTTGAAAAGATGTATTCAAAGCATGGGATAGACTTAATAACTCTCAATTTATGAGGCTTACTAGAAAAGATTCCATTCTAAAAACTCCGCTTTGGTATAACAATGATATCCAGGTAAATAATAAGCTTGTTTTCTATTCAAACTGGTTTAAGGCAGGTGTGTTTACATTGAATGACTAATTAAAAATTCAGATAATTTGACCTTTTCTTCATTTGACGAGTTTCTATATAGTTTTCAAATCAATACAAACTTTCTGCAATATCATGGATTGGTATCTGCTATCCAGCGCTTTTTAGGAAGACATGATTTCCTGAGGGAGAGACCTTCCCAGCCTATTAACCACTACTATTTGATATATTCTTTAATAGTAGGAAAGGTTCTAAAGGTTTTTATAATATTATTATCGCTCCAGTGACACTGCCTACTGGAACCAGAAAATGGAATCAGGAGTATAATATAGATAAAGAGAAATGGACAAAAATATTTAAATTACCTTTTGTAGTCTCGAACAAATCAAAATTACAATGGTTCCAAGTTCGAATTATACACCATATTTTAGTAACAAACACTTTTGTTTTTAAAGTCAAATTAAGTCTAAGTTCTTTATGTACCTTGTGTAATATGGAACATGAAACTATAGTGCATTGTTTATGGGAATGTAAAGAAGTGCAAGCTTTACCTCAGAGATTTGAATCTCTACTTGATATACTCCTGGTTCCTTTTGCGTATAATAAGGAATCCTTCCTTTTTGGAATAATATCTAGATATACTAGATGCCTGAGCAACGCTTTGAATCTGAATGCACTCATTAATGTCATCAAAGATAACTTCCTTGTTCAAAAACATATAAATAACAGTAAAAATATCTACATTAAGAGGGAATTTGAACTTAACTAGAGGAAATGGAAACCTTTATTAGAATTATAGTTGTTTAATAATGAATACTTTTTTAACAATTGCTACATTTTATTATCGCCAGGACCCTGACACAGCCTTATTAGCTTGTTGTTGCATAGAGTATTTAATTAGTGATGCACATGAAATAATATCTCC